TCTCTCTCTCTCTCTCTCTCTCTCTCTCTCTCTCTCTCTCTCTCTCTCTCTCTCTCTCTCTCTCTCTCTTTCTCTCTTTCTCTTTCTCTCTCTCTCTCCGCCTCGTGGAAGGCTACGTTCGATGTCAGTGGCCTCTTCCCGAGAAAAGGAGCCAGGTTGTTAATTAGCATTCGAAGCGAGCTCTTGTCGCGCCTTCGTCTGCGCCATGCGACGCATGTCTCGTCTTTCTTTGGTAGCCTAACAGTTCACGAACAAGAAGTTCCATTCATCGCGGCAAACTTGTAGAAACTGCCGGAAACTGTGTGACGAAACCTTCATCCTCCTGCGGCATTCACGAATCGTCGAATCGTCTTTCACTCACTGCGTGTGAAAAAGAAAAGAAATTACAAGAGATCAATAAAGAAGGAAAAATGAAAAAGAAAAGATAGCAAAATCATTTGTCATCTTTAGTTTCATTATCGCATCTCGAGCTGACTAAACTTCCAAGTTTCGTATCATTCCTTTGGTCTCGAAGACATTTTTCGTATCATCTACCATCACTTCGTAAATAAAATGACGTGACATTGGAAATAATCATTCAGAATGGTATTTAACACGAAACTTTGTTGATTACATCTTCCCGACGTGTGATATCGTTTTAAATTTGAAGCAATCGTCAACGCTAGTACAATATGCAAGAGTTAACGATACATAGTTTCAATCTTTAGAATATTTTTTAAAGTTCTAAACTTTAAGCAACAAGAAGTCTAGTTTATGTGAATTATTCCAATGAGTGTCAATTGACTCAAGAGACTATCTTCAGAAATTTCACCTTCTGTTCTTCTTACGTCGTTATTATAGCTTTCACTCTATTCACATCTGTTCAAATATTATACTACAATAAATCTTATTATATATATGTATATATATGCTTATTATATGTTTTATATGTTATATATGTTATTATAGTTTTCACTCTATATCATATATATATGATAAGATGTATTATAGTATAATATTTGAACAGATGTGATATACTATAATATCTTATTTAATTTATCTTGATGTATTATAGTATAATATTTGAATAGATATGAATAGAGTAAAAGCTATAATAACATATAACATACAACACAAAACATATAATAAGCATATATATATATATATTATATTTGAACAGATGTGAATAGAGTGAAAGCTATAATAACAACGTAAGGAGAGCAGAAGATGAAATTTCTGAAGACAGTCTTTTGAGTCAATTGACTATAATATTATACTATAATATAGCATGTACATCATAGATATATTATACTATAATACATTTCATCGTACAACAACCAAACGTATAACGTTCGCTGCAATTATCATTGCCAGCAAATTACAAAAAGAGGAAGTCTTTAGAAATTATAGAGGAGAAGAATTACAAAAAGAGCTGTTGGCTAGATATCCGATGTCCCCTCGGAAGGTACAATCGAGTGCAAAGATAGATAAAGTTGAAGTGATAACTTAGTCGACCGTCGACCAATTGATCTTTTATATTATGTCTCTGTGCGACTTATGGTATGTCTCTGTGCGACAGCTCTGTGCAACGACGACGCGAACGGGAACGTTCCCCTGGGCAAGTCCTGCAACCGTTACTGGCAGTGTCAAGGCGGTTATCCACGGCTGCAGAGATGTCCAGCGATGCTGGTGTTCGACCGGAGGTCGCTGAGGTGCGTGGTCCCGCCGACCGAGGACTGCGACGTGCCCACAACGCCGCCGAGCCTCGAGGGCGACCTGCCCGAGGGACGAAACGAACAGGAGCCAGAGGAGGAGAACCTCCCGCCTGGTGTTCCGCCGCTGCCAGCCGGCGCGCTGCCGATCTCGCTTCGAGCTCGTCCCAGAAACTAGATTATCCAATTCTATTTCTTGCTTCTCGACGATGAATCGCAACGTCCTGGACTGCATCCGACGCGCGCGGAACGTGTAACGTATGTACATGTGCAGGCGTCTAAAATAGAAAAATGGAAAAGTTGTTGTTAAACGATCATCGTTTTATCTGAGGATTACCACTTACAATGGGTTACGCTTGAATTGAACGGATTGGTCGTTCTCAGAGTTTGAGACGAGCAAGACTGCAGCTTTCAATTTGTCCTAGGTTCTGAGAAACTGGGTTTATTAGGTATTTTTAGCAACGTCCGCGCCTTTCAATCAACTGTTTAATTAACGTGGCTTTTGTAACAAACGGACCGATGATGTTAAAGCGTGACTTGGTACGATCAAATGTTCGTTGAAGAAGAAAAAGTAAAGTAGAATCAATACCACAGAGTACGTACTCTGCTCCAAAGCAATTTGAAAACTAGCCTTTGAACTTTGATTTTGCAACGTCGTCCGAATATTCACACGTAACATACACATGTAACCTCGTGTTCGTACGTTACACATTGTGCGCGTAGAGAATGCAGCCTAGGAACCTCGGTTGAATGAAAATTACTACACGTGAGAAACACGCGGCTCGTGGAAAACTCGTTGCGCCGAGTCTCAAAGCGAATGGAGGTCTGAGTCGTAGTTACTTGGCCAGGGAACCAGGTGATTTACCAATTAGGTACCGATGTTACGTATTATACAATCGGTATTGTGGCTCTCGAGGATACAACAGAGATCGCACGAGGGCAAGCAATGTTGTTAAACATACTCCTTTATGCGTACTCACAGCTTCGTTAGAAAGTACTGCTACTTCCTGGGATCTGAAGTGATCTGGATGTTTCACTTTTATCTATCTCGTTCACCACTTTCTTTTCGTTTCTTTCTCCATGATCGAGATGATCGGTTTCGTTGAAAAAAGGATGCAGGTAAGGATGATTGTACACTCTTTGATTATCGCTCACTTTAAGCATTCTCTCGGTGAACCATTCGTTCTCTCTCTCTCTCTCTCTCTCTTTCTTTCTCTCTCATTCTTACAGTCAAAGTGTAAATATTCTCTCTTGGACATTCTCACATTCTCTCCTTCCCCCTCCTGTCCCGAATTCTATAAGCATCTACATATGTATTGAAACGTTCACACTTGTACGAATGTAGACTCGTTGAAATAAAGTATACGTTGTATATTTTTTGTACGCATGTCGACATTTTATTCCAATTATTATCCGTTGTACATGTCGTCGTTCTCATCGTCGTTATTGCATGAGGCTGTTCTCCTTCGAGAGATTTCTCGTGAACTGATGGATGGTCGATTAAAGTAAGCAAGCAATTCAGCTGGATATTCCGTGGTTTCTTCGGTAAGCAAGCAAATTGTCTTCTAATCGAGGAGAGCGTCCCTAATGAGCGACGGGGACTTGCGATTTCGAGATTTTGAAACGTTTGACAGGCAGACGTTTCTACGTGATTTAAAGATCATTGGCACTGAAACAAACGAGAGAATATTTGTTCCTTACTTTCACGCTTGAAGTGAGAAAATAAATAAATTAAATTGAAAGAGAATAAATGAAATTAAATTGATTAAACTGAATTGAAATAGATAATAAGAAAAGATAAATGAATAATAAAATGGATAGATAATAAAATAAAATAAAATAGATAATAAATAAAATAAAATAGATGATAAAATAGGTAATAAATAAAATGAAATAGATGATAAAATAGGTAATAAATAAAATAAAATAGGTGATAAAATAGGTAATAAATAAAATAAAATAGATGATAAAATAGGTAATAAATAAAATACAACAGATGATAAAATAAGTAATAAATAAAATAAATAATAATAAGAAAATTATCAGAAACTAATAAGAAAATAAATGAGGACTTGGTTAGAGGGTGTGTGTGGTAAAGAGTGCTGTATGAGAGATGCGAAAAAATTGAGTTGAGGTAAATAAAAAGAAATAAAACGAAGGCAAAAGAGGGTAGAATAGATACCGTAGTGGAGAGATAAATAGGTAAATAGATAAATAGATAAATAGATAAATAGATAAATAGGTAAATAGGTAAATAGATAAATAGGTAAATAGATAAATAGAGTTGGAAGTAAAAGGTAAGCGAATAATAGAGGAAATAGAAGAAGACAGTACAGTAAAGAAACAGAAATAGTCACTAAATTTAAGGTAATTAAAATAAGTAAGAAATTAAGAAAATTAGGTGAGAAAGAGTAGTTTGTAGGTTGAAAGTAGAAGCATATCAGATAAAAAAAGAATGGTTGACTTAGAAAACAATGAAACAAAAGACACAGAAGAGGAGGAGGTTCCAGCCACTCCAAACACCAAGAAGAAAAAGAGAAAGACATTCGAAAGAAGAAAATAGGAGCAGAGAGTGTTCAAATAGTAGGAAAATGATGGAACAATGGAGTGGATTCTCTGAGAAGGAAGGAGATGCAGAAGAAAATGAAAAGGAGGAGGCAACACCAAAAAGAGCTGATAAGAAAATAAATAAAATAAATAATAATAAGAAAATTATAAGAAATTAATAAGAAAATAAATAAAGTAAATAATAAGAAAATAAATAAATCAGATTAAATTGAATTAAATTAAATGAAAGAATAAGATTAGCAAATTAACTTAACGCACCAATGGGGCAATTCCTCTGGGTCCAAGCAGCTGAGACTTGCGGAATCGAAGAGTTTTCCGTCGCCGCACGTGAGCAAACGTGGATTGCCATCGACGCAGGTGATCAGTCTGCCACAATCTCCGGGCACAGGGAATCTGAAAAAGAATGACGCACACATTCTTCAGTAAGAGATTCCAGTTTCAGCTGATTCGAAACGTTAAGCGCCCTCCGTTAAGTGAAATTTAAAATATTTAATTTCCTTCGCCTCTTGACTTTTTTATATACCACGACAAGAGAGAAAATGTGGCACGATGACAGTGCACACTCTTAACAGGATAAAACCGAATGACCATAAAATACGTGTCACCTCTCAGTGGGAGGGGGGGTTCTTCATCTTCTCTCCTCGAAAGCAGAATGGGACCGGTTCTTAATTTGCACGCTGGAAGATAAACCGCGGCTGTTTATATTCAAGAACTTTCGTCCCCTTTCGACTTAACAAAGATATCTTCGAAAAAGAAAGCTCTTAAAATTATCTGTATTTACGCCTTTCGACTTGGTATCGGTAGTTTAATTTCTTATTAATCACGATCCGATTGCTGAAATAAATAGCGACATTTCAAACACGATTCAACTCGGGGTACATATCTTGCCTCCAGTGACGTCGTTCTTCAAAGCATTTAGAAATATCTCTCCTCGTCTTCACTTATTGTTAAGTACAATTTTTCTTATCAATCGCGATCCGTTGCTGAAATAAACAACGCCTCCAAAGGATTAAAATAAATTCAACGAAATAAAACGTAATAAACACCCATTGTGATTCAAGGATCGTTCGTATTTGTGAAATTTGTCCATCGGCTATGGAACAAATTTTCGAGACGTTTGCAAATAACATCAACGTCCATGGCGAGATTTTGAGAGAGAAAAAAGAAAACAAACAAACGATGATCTTGATGAAAACCAACCTCGGATAGGGCCAGAATTTCGCAGCCGCACTATGAGAGGGCACTTTGTGCGGGCACTTGAAGCCGACGATCTCCTCCGGGTTGCAGTAGGGTAACAGTTGATCTGGCCAGACGCAGGTGTGACTCTTCGCGTCGTAAGCTAATCCCGCGTCGCAGTGCTCCTCCTGAGGGTGTCCGTGGATGCATTTAATGTAAGTGGTGCTGCATGAGTCGCTGGCTGGATAGAGGCCGAATTGATACTCGCAGCCAGGGCTGCTGATCGGAGTGACTGGGAACAATTTCGAGAATATTACGTGAATATTAATATAAATTATAAAAATCATATAATATATATATAATATTAATTATTAATAAATTATTAATTATTAATTATTAATAATTATAATAATATAATTATAATAATATAAATTATTAATTATTAATAAATTATATAATATATAACGATGAATGAAATTCAATTTTTCACTTTGCTCTTTCTGGCAAACTTTCTTTTTCGTATCATCTGTACCAACAATTTATTTATGAAGCATTATTTATGACACATTAATGTTCCATGATGATCAAATTATGGTAAAATGTCTCCTTGATCATTAGGTTTGGGACCAATGATACTTTTTTTACTTGGAGTTTAATATTCTTCCGGTTTATGATGAAAAATATATTTGGTCCAATTCTGAAGAAATAAAGATTATCTTGATGATTTAAAAGTTATTTCAGGTGTGCAAGTTTAGGTGGGTACGTGAATCACTCTGTATATATACAATATACAATATATATTGTATTTTATATTATATATATTGTATGTACAATAGGATATATATACAATAGTATTAATTGTATATATTGTATACACAATAGGATATATATACAATAGTATTAATTGTATATATTGTATACACAATAGGATATATATACAATAGTATTAATTGTATATATTGTATACACAATAGGATATATATACAATATAAAATACAATATATATTGTATACAACAATATTGTATATATTATATATTATATATTGTATATTATATTGTATATATATTGTATCGACAGTATTGTATATATTGTATACTGTACATATATATTGTATTGTATATATATTGTATACAACAGTAATGTATATATTATATATACAATAGTATACAATACACAATAAATACATTCTACGAATATTACAATAAGAACCAAGTGTCTTAAAGTATTTTATGTAAATACAAAGTGCAAGTTTTAAAACACATTCAGGTATTAGTACATATGTATGTATGTATACACAATGGAATAGAAATAAAATTCGCTAGATTTCACTATCCGTGAAAGAACCCCAACGAACCCACTGTATGTGCATAAGGAGACTGTCGCGGCCACCGAGAGTGAAACGCGATACTTACGGTCAGCCTTGCGATCCCCGCAGTTGACGGCCCAATAATAGTTGCAGTGATCGTGTACGGCCCCGTGGCCGTCGAAGAGTAATCCATTCTCGCAGTATTCGAGGGTCAGGGTGCCGTTCGTACAGAGGAAGTAGGCATTGCAGTTCTCGGGGTGAGCGTACGTGTGAACACCATGGGGGTCGGGGCAAGGTGGCGCGCCCAGCAGCGTAGTTGCTTCACCTGCGTATCACGAACCAACATTATTAATTAGTAAATGATATACTTTACTAAATGATAAAATATTATTTAGGAAGCAATAAACTTTACTAAATGATATAAAATATTATTTAGTAAGTAACATGCTTTACTAAATGATATAAAATATTATTTAGCAAATAATATACTTTACTGAATGATATGAAATATTATTTAGCAAGTAATATACTTTACTAAATGATATAAAATATTATTTAGCAAGTAACATATTTTACTGAATGATATGAATGATATGAAATGTTATTTAGTAAGTAATATACTTTACTAAATGATATAAAATGTTATTTAGTAAGTAATATACTTTACTAAATGATATAAAATGTTATTTAGTAAGTAATATACTTTACTAAATGATATAAGATGTTATTTAGTAAGCAATATACTTTACTAAATGATATAAAACGTTATTTAGTAAGTAATATACTTTACTGAATGATATGAATGATATGAAATATTATTTAGCAAATAATATACTTTACTAAATGATATAAAATATCATTTAGCAAATAATATACTTTACTGAATGATATGAAATATTATTTAGCAAGTAATATACTTTATTAAGTGATATAAAATATTATTTAGCAAGTAATATACTTTATTAAATGATATAAAATATTACTTAGGAAGTAATATATTTTACTAAATGATATAAAATATTATTTAGGAAGCAATATACTTTACTAAATGATATAAAATATTATTTAGTAAGTAACATACTTTACTAAATGATATAAAATATTATTTAGGAAATAATATACTTTACTAAATGATATAAAATATCATTTAGCAAATAATATACTTTACTGAATGATATGAAATATTATTTAGCAAGTAATATACTTTATTAAATGATATAAAATATTATTTAGCAAGTAATATACTTTATTAAATGATATAAAATATTACTTAGGAAGTAATATACTTTACTAAATGATATAAAATATTATTTAGTAAATAATGTAAATAAAAGTAAAGTAAAGGAAAAATAAATAATAAAATAAATAAAGTAAAAAGAAGGTAAAATAAAATAAAGTAAGAAAATACATATAAAGAAACATGCGTAAGAGTGAAAACTAACAGTACAGAAATAAAAAATACAATTGAACATTACAAACGTCGAGAACAATAAATAAAAATAAATAAATAAAATATATTTATCTTAAATAAAGCATCTAAAAATAAATCCGATGTGTTTTGATCTTTTGTAAACAAGAAGAAAAGAAAAGAAAAAATTTTTATAAATTTTTCTGTAATAACAATAGCTCAAACTGACGAGTTAAATTTAAATTAACAAAACGAAACGAGATTAAGGCAAATGAAGATTGAATCTTAAAGTCAGATATTCGAAGGCCATCGATGGAGGCTCGAAGAGACAAGATTTCGTGATTTGAATGACAGAAGGCAGTAGCAGAGAGCTACGTTGCTGCTTGGAAAGCGTGTCGCGAAACTGGAAATGGAAAGTCGGCGCTTCTTTTGCGCCGAGAAATAATAATCGGCAAAGCGCGAGAGGAGACAGGCGCATAGTCAACATCGCTGGCAAGATTTCCTGTTAGCCGACGACAGGAAGAAGAGAATGGATCAAGAATCAGAACGAGATGCAAGAACAGAAGGCAAAACACATTATGCAAATTGCCGGAGCTGATCGGACTTTCTGATTTACACTTCGCTGGTGGCAAGGTGACTCGTGAGACTAGCTATCAGATAGATTTGTTATACACATCTGGATGAAAGAAGGAGAGAGAGAGAAATAGGCGACTAAGTGAATGAAAAGAGAGGGATAGGAAGAAGGCTGAAGAAAGGCGACGCGTTAATAAATTGATTAATAAAAATTAATAAAAAATAATTTATAAAAATTACTAAAGAATAATTAATAAAAATTACTAAAGAATAATTAGTAAAAATTAATAAAGAATAATTAATAAAAATTAATAAAAATTAATAAAATACAATTAATAAAAATTACTAAAGATAATTAATAAAAGTTACTAAAAAATAATTAATAAAAATTAATAACAAATAATTAATAAAAATTAATAAAAAATAATTTATAAAAATTACTGAAGAATAATTAATAAAAATTACTAAAGAATAATTAGTAAAAATTAATAAAAATTGATAAAATACAATTAATAAAAATTACTAAAGATGATTAATAAAAGATGATTACTAAAAAAATAATTAATAAAAATTAATAACAAATAATTAATAAAAATTACTAAAAAGTAATTAACAAAAACTTAATAAATAGCTTAGTTATCACGAGTACCTAATAATTACATCCTAATATTAAATCCTAATCGTATCCTTGAAATAATCACGAATGCCTAATAATTATATCCTAATAAATTTGAGAAAATTATTTTCCAACATCGTCTCAGCTCTCCCATCGAAGCAATACAAATGTTGATGCTATTTCTTTAATAAACTGCGCAATCTATCGATCGAGACCGGGCAAGGTAACTGATACGACCGTACTGATATTGCCTGAAACACACACGTTTCGGAATGACAGAAATGAAGGCGTGCGAACACGCCAGACAGACACCGCCATTATATCATAGGTCGCGGCGACGTAACCATATGGCTGGAGGAGGCGGTGAAAGTTATTGAAGTTGTGCCACGCGGATGTGGTAACACGGGGAACGATCGAGTCCAGAGACGAACACGCCAGCAGGGATGCAGGTTGGAGAACCATCGATGCGAACTACTCTCGCGTGAGACGCATCGTCGATCGATGGATCATGGGGTCGATCCAGAGATCATGGGGGAGGGAACAGCATCGAGGGACTGCCTCGGCTGCGCTCGAAATAAAAAAAAAAAATAAAAAAAAAAAAATATGCAGAGAAAGAAGCGACTTACCGGAAGCGAGAAAAGTCGCCAGGGTGATGAGCAAGGTGACAGTGGGCCGCGGTCGATGGTCAGTCATAGTGCTCGCTCGGTCTGATCCTGGACTCGGGTCGACTCTGACTACTGACGCTTTTCTTAGTTATCGACTGTCTCGGGACAGGAGAGCTTCTCCCTTCACTTGCTCGGTACTCTTGCTCTCCCGTTACCCCACCTGGGGGCCTCGTTCGACCGTGGGTCCCCTCGTTCCATCTCTTCGGGCGATCGTGCGCCTTCGGTGAAGTCCGAGTCACGAGCGAGCAGACCAAGCAGAAGCCGAACGGGCAAGCGTGATCCCAACGCTCTCGAGGGCTTGCCCGAAAATTCTAACTTGGGGAGGGGAAGGTTTTTCTAACAATCGCCGATGCTCTTACGCATCAGACAGAGTTTAAATACTCGAGCGTTTCACGGTGAGAATTCGACTGTTCAATTATACAGGATGTCCATAAAGTCTCTTTGCAATTTCAAGAATTTATTACAAAGGCAAATGAAAAGACAGATAAGCGGAAATTATTACGAAATGAGACGTGTATATTTAAGTTTTTTTTTTCTTTTTTTTTTTTTTTTTTGTCTCATTTAATATATCCCTCTATATGGGAGACATTAGTTGTACGAAGCACATCAAGACGGTACTCGATTTCTTACACGATCGATGTTCTTGGTCGTCCTTTCTCTATCAAACACTGTCTCCCTGTCTCTATAAATTTCTTGTGCCATCCACGAATTGATGGACGTGACGGTGGATCACTTCCATACTTAGTTCTGAAGTTTCGCCGAGTCTGCAAATCCGATTTGGTTTCAATAAACCATGATACACACTGTGCCTTCTCTTGAGGAGTAGCCATTTTGTAAGAGGCTCATTTAACAGTATCTTCATTCATCAGCAGGGTACCTGAAATGCAATGTGATAAAAACCTTGATAACCACCGAGTACATGGAACAAATCTGACGAAGATATCTCATCAATTGCCTTTGTAATAAATTTTTGAAATTGTAACGAGACTTTATGGACACTCACACGGGGTTATGTTAAAGATATCGCGTGTCGAACAAAGGTAGGCAACATTACTAATCTAAAGCAGAGGATCATTGATACCATTGCCATGCGAGGGTATGCCACAGCGAACATGGCAAGAAATTGAGTACAGTCTTGATGTGCTTCGTGCAACTAATAGTACCCATATAAAAGTGTATTAAATGAGGCAAAAAGAAAAAACTTAAATACACATGTCTCATTTTGTTATAATTTCCACTTATCTGTCTTTTCATTTATCTTTGTAATAAATTTTTGAAATTGTAGAGAAGAAACTTTATGGACACCCTGTATATTTATATCTTTTAATAAACCTTTATATGGATACTATTAATAATGGTGCCCATATAAAAGTGTATTAAATGAGGCAGAGAAAAAAACTTAAATCTATACGTCTCATTTTGTAATAATTTTTACTTATCTGTCTTTTCATTTGCCTTTGTAATAAATTCTTGAAATTGTAAAGAGACTTTATGGACACCCTGTATATTTATATCTTTTAATAAACTTCTATATGAACACTATTAGTAATGGTACCTATATAGAGGTGTATTAAATGAGGCAAAAAAAAAAACTTAAGTACATACGTCTCATTCTGTAATAATTTCCACTCATCTGTCTTTTCATTTGCCTTTGTAATAAATTCTTGAAATTGCAAAGAGACTTTATGGACACCCGGTATATTTATATCTTTTAATAAACCTCTATATGGACACTATTAGTAATGGTACCTATATAGAGGTGTATTAAATGAGACAGAAAAAAAAACTTAAATACATACGTCTCATTCTGTAATAATTTCTACTTATCTGTCTTTTCATTTGCCTTTGTAATAAATTTTTGAAATTGTAAAGAAACTTTATGGACACTCTGTATATATATATTCGTACAATGTACGAGATGCGTTAACTGTGTCAGCGAGACACGCGATGGAAGTGAATGATATACCTATACATTCGTTGGACGTAGGCACGAAACACGGCTAATCCCTGGGGGGAGGCCTGAACTCTTAACCGTTGCCTTACGCAACAGTTATCGCTAGTTGGAGCAATGGTTCACGAAGGGAGAACCAGATCTCCCGGCATGGATAGTGAAAGCCGACGAATGCCTCGTGATCTCGATCGGTACTTATGATGAACCAGACGGATTAACGAAAAATAAAGAACGTACGTCTCTCATGATCACTCTATAAAGCGAATAGAAGATAGAAATACAAAAATAATTAAATACCTAATAATAATAATAATAATAGTAATAATAAATATGACATACGTACGTGTAGGAAAACGAAACGTAAGACGGAGTATTTAATGAAACGTTTCGTTTGTACATATATACACACACGTAGTACATATGTAGACGTAAAAAATGGAATCCGCGGGGATTTTTCGGAAAATATCGAACGTACGAGATGGTACGAAACTTTCACAACTTTTTAATATAATACAGAGAGAGAGAGAGAGAGAGAAAGATGGGCTCGGCAGAAATGTAAATCGTTCGGCCAGCGCGTTTCATCGAGCACATCGTAAATTACGTAAAGAGAAAGGTTGCAATCAGGTGAATTAAGTGAAATTGTCCGCCAGGAGGCATTATGCATCGCTTATTGTATTCAAACGAGATCAATTGCCGACATTACTTGTTATTCAATAAATTCCTTTCCATCCAATCGACACTTGAAGAAATTAGTCCACAATTTCTTTAAAAACTCAGTCCACAATTTCTTTAAAAATTCCACAATTTCTTGAAACAATGGATACCTGTTACCGCAAAACAGCGGGTGGGTTTCAACGTTTTCTTGTTGTCGCTGTCTATCGTTGATTCCAGTTTCTCGCGTTGCTGGCCCGCAGCGGTTATTGATCTCTCTATTGAAACAAGCGGTAACAAAGTTGTCGGCGCCGTAAATTTCCGTTTCAGAGCGTAATACCCGTTTACATAAGGAGAAAGGTGTAATTATCGTGGGAGTTGTACGCAAAGGCTGCTCATTTACGTAAGGGTATATCACGGGTTTATTGTTCTCCTAATTGTAAGTGTAAAAGATTAAGCGTTACAGACGTATCTGGCTGAGTGGGTGGCACCTTCGTCGCTATTCAGCTCTTGTTTTTGTAGTAGTCCTCGCTGTAACAAGAAGAGACAACAGGACATAAGGATCTCGTTGCGTCTAAAACTGCACAATTCACGACACTGTTTCAACTTGAAAAAGAATGAGAAAAAGAAAAAATTTTTGCGCCTGTGCTAATGTGTTCCATAGATTAACAACAGATGAAATCTTACCATCCAGGCACGTTCTCCGGGTCCATGCACTTGAAGCTGTCCTCGCTGTAAACGGTACCAGGCTCGCATTGCCCTTTCTGCGGCACCACGCCGTTCTTGCAAATGTAGAACTTGGCACAATCGTCCGGATGAGGATACGTAGGGTGCGGCAGAATCCTACCGAGCGGCCCGGGCACGTCGCCGTCGGGACAAACGAACCCATCGTCCAGAACGTCCCTCTTCACGTTCTCGCACAGTCTGCTGGCATCGGCCGGCCAGACGCAGCTGGACATTTTGTCCTCGTAGATCAAGCTCGGTGGACAGGGCATTATCTGAGCCACGCCGTCGATGCAGTTCACGAAACGGTCACAGGCCGTTGGGTCCTCGTGTTTGAAATAGCCATTGGCGCGTGGACATCCTTTGCTCGTCTGCGGTTCCTCTGAATAAAACGTTCAGCAATTAACGTTTCATAGCCAATTGAAGCTTTAAAGTCAAAGTTAAAGTTGAAATTAAAATTAAGATAAAAGTTAAAGTTAAAGTTAGTCAAAGTTAAAATTAAAATTAGTTAAAGTTAAAATTAAAGTTAGTTAAAGCTAAAATTAAGATAAAAGTTAAAGTTAAAGTTAAAGTTGGTTAAAATTAATTAAAGTTAAAGTTAAGATAAAAGTTAAAGTTAAAGTTAAAGTTAGATAAAGTTAAAATTAGTTAAAGTTAAAATTAATTAAAGTTAGTTAAAGTTAAAGTTAAAGTTAAAGTTAAAGTTGAAGTTAGTTAAAGTTAAAATGAAAGTTAGGTAAAGCTAAAGTTAAGATAAAAGTTAAAGTTAGTTAAAGTTAATTAAAGTTAAAATTAAAGTTAGTTAAAGCTAAAATTAAGATAAAAGTTAAAGTTAAAGTTAAAGTTAGTTAAAATTAATTAAAGTTAGTTAAAGTTAAAGTTAAGATAAAAGTTAAAGTTAAAGTTAAAGTTAGTTAAAGTTAAAGTTAGATAAAGTTAAAATTAGTTAAAGTTAAAATTAATTAAAGTTAGTTAAAGTTAAAGTTAAAGTTAAAGTTGAAGTTAGTTAAAGTTAAAGTTAAAGTTAGTTAAAGTTAAAATGAAAGTTAGGTAAAGCTAAAATTAAGATAAAAGTTAAAGTTAGTTAAAGTTAATTAAAGTTAAAATTAAAGTTAGTTAAAGTTAAAGTTAAGATAAAAGTTAAAGTTAAAGTTAGTTAAAGTTAAAGTTAAGATAAAAGTTAAAGTTAAAGTTAAAGTTAGTCAAAGTTAAAATTAAAGTTAGATAAAGTTAAAGTTAATTAAAGTTAAAGTTAGTTAAAGTTAAAATTAATTAAAGTTAGTTAAAGTTAAAATTAAAGTTAGTTAAAGTTAAAATTAAAGTTAGTTAAAGTTAAAATTAAAGTTAGTTAAAGTTAAAGTTAAGATAAAAGTTAAAGTTAAAGTTAGTCAAAGTTAAAATTAAAGTTAGTTAAAGTTAAAGTTAAGATAAAAGTTAAAGTTAAAGTTAGTTAAAGTTAAAGTTAAAGTTAGTCGAAGTTAAAGTTAAAGTTAAAGTCGGTATTCTTTTAAGTCTACTTAGGATCGACGAAACATTGCGAGAGAAATAAAAAGAACTGTCGTCCTTTCACCGTTCTACAGAGAGACAGTGGCGAGATTAGCATACAGATTTCGACTCGACCGCTGAAAGAATGCTTGTGAATGAAAAAAAAAAAGTAACAAAAGACAGTGTCTAGAAGCACATCCAAAGAAGAATTTAGTCAATTCACGGAGGAACCGGTTCGTTCCTAATTGAATCTTCACCGAATTCATTTATCGAATTTCGAAGTAGACTCGTAGAATCGAGCTACGTCATTCGAATTCCATTTTTAGATCGAACTTGATCAGATTTTCGTCGCGAAAAGAATCACGAGACATAGTTCGAGAATTCGAATCGCATTCTCGTTGCTTGCAATTTCTCGAAAACAGACGATGCAGTGTGACTGGAATATTCTCGAGCGCGATCCGTAGGACACACGTAACTTTCACCTTTGGTTTCTCATAAGTTCGCTTCTGGAAAATTGCCGATATCGCGCGATCTTTGCGCGACTGCGTTTCGCCAGACGATCGTAATCTTCTTCACCCATAGCCCTGTAAACTTACAGTAGTTTCCTAAGCTTCTAAAAATATTTTTGAATGTTTGTCAACGTCTCTGCGACATTATACAACCATTCATTAGATTAGGAAACGTGAGTTATCGATACTTCCTTTCCTTTTTCGTTTTTCCTTTTTTTTTTTTTTCATTGGAGCCACCGACGTGTCGTCAACGAGAGACGTGTCGCATCGTCGCTAATGTTTTACAGGTGGAGAGAAACGTGACTTACGAAGAAGAGTCCTATCTCCGCAAGGCACGTTGGCTGGAATATCACAGAGTTCCTTCTTGGGGTTGTCATCTCTGAAGACGAGGCCGTCCTTGCACAGTTTCTCCTCGGGCTTGCCATCCAAGCAGGCGTAATAGAGATCGCACTGTTCCGGATCCGGGAAGAAACCCTTCGGCTCGGGACATCGAAACTGCCCTCTGCTCAAAGTCACCGCACAAATGACCAACAAAAATACCGACGACGCTCGAACGAACATGCTCCCGTTCTTTCTATTTCCTTTCTTTTCCTTTCTTTCGTTTATTCTTCTTCTTTTTCCTCCTCCTCTTCTTCCTCTTTTTCTTCCCGCCTCCTCTCTTCTTTCTATTCCGATCCGTCGACTACTCGTAGCAACGTGAATATGACGTGAGTGCACACCTGAAACTGGTCCTGATTCGCCTGCCGCACCACCTCTGCATCCTTGCTTGCATTTCACAACCCCCCACCCCACCCCTTTCGCCGAAACTTCTTTCTCGCTTGCTCCGCTATGCGCCGCTTTTCTTCTTTCAGGGAACTGAAACGTCGACGCCTAAAACGTTTCTCGCCTAAACGCGCCTATGCCGCGCCTATGCTTTGCTTTGCTTTCTGTTTCCCTTATTTCGCGTTTCTTCTCATTTCTCTAGCCGCCGCAGACGCTTATCGCCTGTCACGATTATATTTGCCTGTCCACTACTCGAGTATATACCCAGGTACTTGCTATTTCACTTACTTGCCGCCGACTGCCTCTTCCGGGTAGCACGCGGCCTCACTCTAACTCCGTGTCAGTTGCGCGTCGAAGCGCCGTAGATCATTGATCATTTTTATCAGTCGCCTTGCAGTCGCCTTGCCTCTCCTTCGAGATCGTTTACCGGTGGTAAAGGGCAAGCTGAACGCTGCGATGGGAGATTTGCTTCATTACTTGTATCCTGTATCACTGGTGCTTGTATACTTATGTTTGTATACTACACACCAGTGGCCATCAGTATCTCGATACTTTGGTAACAGAGAATTTGGCACATCAATTTTAAAAACATGAACATTCCATCGGGTTCGTCGTAACGTTCCACTGCCGTGAAAAATAAAATCAACGTGAATTCTCTTGTAGTAAACAAATTACATCCTGTCAAAGGCAGACGTGCGATTAATTTACCTCTTTGGTAATGTTGTCATTCCTTCCTTGAACTTCTTCAACGTTCCACGTTGCACGATCATAGATAAGCTCAGAAACAAAATCTCTCGTAGTATGTAATCAAATTACATCCTCTAAAAGGCGACTGTGAGATTAATTTACGTCTTTCACACTGTTATTTCCTTTCAAAAATGTTCCCGAATGTTTGAGTTGAAAACCACTGAGAACAGAGAGTGTTTGAAGTACTTAACTGGTGCTAGATTCAAGAAAGATCAAAGCACCGATTTTACGAGGTACGCCGATAAATATTTTAATTTTAATTTTAATTTTAACACGAGGCTATGGTAGAAATACGCACAATTTTTAAGAATGAAAGTCAAACGCGACCAAGGTAAATAAATATCAACTTTTTCAAGTCGTTCATTCATAATTTTTTGAAACGTGTAATTTCACGAGTAAAGCGAAAATGGCGAATTTATTTTATCAATCGAGAGTAGCTCGAGTACGATTTCAACCGGTTCGTGTGAAATTATATTTGCGCAACGCTTCGAAAGTGTCCGTGAATGTTAATATCGTTAGCTCTGTCTGCACATTCTCTTCCGGATGCTTCGAATACGTGTTCAAATACCACGTATCTACTCTCTGTCGACGTGATTTCGTTTCCCTAATTCTTCTGTCTGACTTTTTTCTACAGTCGTTTGAATACTTCACTGAAATGAAACGAGGGGGCGTTTTGTTCCACGAACGCGCAAGCGTTCTCTGCAATTAAAGAAACTTGACGACAAGATCACGAACATTCGACGACATCGAACGAAAATGCAATTCCACTTTCATCTTTGATCAGACGGATGATCCCGTGACCAATGGCCTGAGAAAGCAGAACAATTTCGATTCAATTTATAAAATTAGACGTCAGTTTGTGAATTATTACCTACCATTAGCAGAGCGTGTATGTTCGTCGAGGAAAGTATGACCACTATTTTGACAAAACTTCCTTTGACAAAGCGTTATATCGAAATACACGTTTATAAAAGGCGAAACATACATTTACATATAAGGAAAGTTACGAAGAATCCAATCACGAGAATAAACTACATACGTATCAAATTTCGATGTAATTTGCTGTATGACGCAATTAATTTCGCAGATTTTTCCGCAAAAATTCCCGAACAACATACCTGATCCAAGCGATCTCGCGATTATTTGGAACTTCCGCAATCGTTTCTGATGTGAAAGTAATTTCAAGATGAAACTTATCAAAAAAGTACACAGTTTCGTGTAACAGCTACAATTTAAATAAATATTATTAAATACTGTTCGAACAAGTACCTTTGTTGAACGAGATTTCCAAATCTCTTCCAAATACGCGCATTTTTATAGGTCACATGGAGTATATGAAGAAATCTCAATGCCTAGAAACTAGGATGCAATTGCACAAATTCGTCTTTCTCTGTAAAATGTAGAAATTTATGAAAATTAGATTTACTGAAAGAAGAGGGACCGTTGAAATGCTGGCGTCGCGTAACGGTGAAACTGTGGAAATAAAATTTAAAATCTTGTCGTCCTTGTCACACTACGCAAGTCCATTCTTCTATAAACGAGATATGTGCTGCCATCTGTCGGATCTTTCCTTTTTAGCCTTTTAATTCCAGTCGAAGCTGAGAAATGCTCAGATGGCAGCACGCAACAGATGTATATCTGTCCTTGTCGCACAGCATTACCTTCCTTGTCTGTCACATTCCATAGGCTGTCCTTGTCGCACACCAATCGCGCTTCTTGTCTGGCGACAGTGCTGCCATCTAAGTGTCTCTAAATTTTTCCTGGAACTAAAAGGATAAACAGGAAAAATCCGGTAGATGGCAGCATCTTGTTAGTAGACAAAGAGCGCGCTAATGTGTGACAAGGATAGACTTATGCATAGTGATAGACAAGAGCACACTGGTGTGCGACAAGGACGACAATAGATTTTTAATTCCATCGTCTCGCCGCTACGCGGCGCTAGCATTTCAATATCCATAAATTAACTAAATTTCCATTTGCGAGAAAAACTAATTAAGAGGATTAATTTATGAATTTTTGCTATCATATCTTTATTTTCAGACTCTTGGCTTTCTTCCCGTGTTCCATTTGACTTATAAAATATACGTATGAAGATTTGCAAGCTTCATTCAACAGATCGAAGTACACGATCCAAGTACATTAATTAATATCTTATTGTTAGCGTACCAATAACATCGGAGGTACAAGAGTGTCATTTATTTGGAAAAGTACCATTGTATTTCTGTAAATTGTTGTCAGTCTATAAAACATTTGCCTTTTTTTCATTTTGAAAGTTTCGTTGTGAGATTGGTCCAGGGAAGGCAAAAATACGCACGCAGAAACACGATGAATCGCTTTCGAATGGAATATAATTTCGATGCTCGCCACAATAAACCACAGAGGGCGTGAAAAGCACTCTGATTTTTTTCGGGTGTTTCAGAACCTAAAACATCAGGTCCTCATGCTTAATGTCGCATCTATTCTATCTTTAGTCGATGATGCAAACGATGTTTATAATCCGTTTGAAAGACAAGACAAGGAGAAATAAATAACGTATATGTGCAATGGAAGTTCTTGAACTGAAAGACGTTAAGGCTGTACCCGACATCATTCATCCTTATCCGGATAGAGTAAAATCCGAAGCAACGCCACTTGTGATTGACAATGGTAACTTAAATTTATTATATCATATATTGTATTATATCAGACGAATATACAAGTAAGTGAAAGATACAGCTGCAATACAAAATATGTAGCAAGTATAACAGATATTGAGAAACAATTGTTTTGTAGGGTCGTACAATTGCAGAGTTGGATGGGCTACCGAAAAGGAGCCTCAGTTAATATTTAAAAACCTTATTGCAAAGCCACGCAAGGAACGCGGCAAGAAGGACGGTGAGCCTCAAGTTGGGAATGACATAGCCAACATTGAAGCTGTTCGATTTCAATTGAAAACACAGTTCGATAGGAATGTGGTAACACATTTCGAGGCTCAGGAACAAATATTTGACTATACGTTCACTCACATGGGAATAGATACAGAGGGTGCAGTGAATCATCCCATTATTTTGACAGAGGCATTTCTGAATCCTAATTATTCGCGAAATTGTAAGCCTGAAAATGTAGAAAAACTTCTGAGGTTAACTTTAGATTTACACATTGAAAGATAACTATTGTACACATTGTAGTGATGGCTGAACTTTTATTCGAGTGTTACAATGTACCTGCTATAGCATACGGAGTGGATTGCCTGTTTTCCTATCAGCATAATAATTGCCCACCGGATGGTTTAATCATTAGCATTGGGTATCACACTACGCACATAATACCCATATTGGATGGTAAAGCGGATCCTGTAAATTCAAGGAGAATCAATATCGGCGGATATCACATTACATCTTACATGCACAGGCTGCTCCAACTGAAATATCCAGTTCATGTTAATGCAATAACACCCAGTCGAGCAGAGGTATGACGATTTGTTTCTTGCAGCCCTTTGTTGACGTTCCAGATATGCGATAATTTCATTTTCTACACGTAGGAATTAATACATGAACATTCAATGATAGCTTTGAATTATCAAGAAGAGATTTCTAAATGGGCGGATCCAGATTATTACGATACGAATGTATTAAGAGTACAATTACCCTATGTTGCCCCTGCAAATGCTCCAGGGTTAACGGTCGAGCAACAAAAGGAGAGAAAACGCGAATTAGCTAGAAGGTTAATGGAAATCAATGCGAGGAAAAGAGAAGAGAGAGTTAGTTACATGTTGTAATGTGTGATCGTGAAATTATTCATACACGAATTAATTACATACGATTAAATGGTAATTTGCAGTTGGCGGAAGACGAGGAACAATTGAATCAGTTACTGGCCGTTCAAGATTTATTGGAGGAAGGTGAAACGGATGAATTTGATCAAGCGTTGAAAACTTACTCTCTCGCAAACGAGGCAGATCTGATAAAAATGATCAATAATCTCCAAGCGAAAGTAGAGAGGACTAGACAAAAGATAGTAGCGGCTAATTCACAGGAGGAGAATATCGCGATGGAGGAACAAAAACCAAAAATAAAATCAAGTTTGCAACCTAAAGATCAGCAAGATTTTGACGAATGGATCGCTGGTGTCCGAAAGAAAAGGTAATCAACATCTCCGTTATTTTTACGATGATTATATATTTGAGGGATTATACACTATAGGCAGGAGATATTAGAAAGACGAATGGCAAAGAGACAGCGTAGACAAGACATGGCGAAACGCAGAACAGCTGCTGCACAGGAAAGAATGCGTATAATAAGCCAGTTGGCGAGAAAAGAAAAACGTGATGATGATTTTGGTATGAGAGATGAGGATTGGGACGTTTACAAAGTGATAAACAGGGTTCGTACAGATTGAATTTACTTTCCTCGCGAAATTTACTAACTCTACTTTGTACGTTTTTCATAGGAAGGTGGAGACTCGGACTCGGAAGTGGAACAAGAAAAGCTTATGGAACTAGAGGATGTATTACGACACCATGACCCAGAATTCGATGGTGCT